AAAAATTGGAAGATTTGAACCAAAAATGAAGGCGGGGCCCCCCCCCCCTACATCAAATGTGCCAACTCCACCATCCCCTTTCTCAAGTTTTTAAATTCTTTGATAAGAAATAGACACTCGAGGCGGAATATAGTTTACTTTTTTAACATATTTTTTACTATTGCTACGTTAGAACACTTGTTTATACAACTGTCTATGTTAAGCAGGTTTTGCATCCAAAATTTTATATTGCGGGGAAAGTGTCAAAATTATGAAGAAGTGCACCCGGGCATTATTTATATCATGCCCCGACACTTATCAACGTCACGAAGTAGGGTTGAGAATGGGGCAGTTGTGCTGTATCATGATAAAGTGGAAATGCCAGGGGAGGGGGGGGGGAGATGTGCTTGATAAATAAATGAATTCCTTATCGTCTGAACATGAAACTACAAGTTTCCCGTCTGGGCTCCAGCGTGCACAGCGCACCCAGTTCGTGTGTTCGGCCAAGCTTTGCGTGAATCGTGTCCTAAACATTGCAAATCTTTATTCTGTATCAATAAATGCTAAAAACTTGACTTCTAGGGTAAGATCAAGGTAGGAGCAAACGTTGGTTTAACATTTTTTAATCCATTTAATAAAGTGTTCCTAGATTTGGAAGCAGAAAATTATGATTAAAAATCTGAATAGAAATCTAGTTTTACAATTTAACTTCCAATGGTTACAGAGATTACTACAAAGAAGTAATATCTGCCTTTGAGGAAGTATACATTTAGACAGTATACACATAATTTTACTGTCACATAAAAACATAATTTCCTTGAAACTGGCATCTTTCAACGTTAACGCTAAATATTAAGAGGTGGGTTTTCTAGGAATTCCTGAAGATGTTAAAAATAAAGGGTGTACTTTCCAAGTTAATGCTAAGATATTGAGAGTTGAACTTTCAAAGTTAATGCTAAGATATTGAGAGTTGAACTTTCAAAGTTAATGCTAAGATATTAAGAGTGGAATTTTCTAAAGGAATTCTAAAAGAAGATGTTAAAAATATACGAGGGTTTACGTAGTTATGGGAATACATAACAGAATTGACTGTTAGTTTTATATATATAATTTGCTTGTCTGTTAGTTTGTTACCGATAAACGTCAAAAACGGCTGAACTGATCGGGCCCTTAATTTTTTGATAGACCTCACATGATCCCAATGAAAATAATGTCATAAAATGCGTGAAATTTTTTTAATTGACAATCAATCCAATAATGTTAGTGTTCCTAGATTTGGAAACAGAAAATTATGATTAAAAATCTGAATAGAAATCTAGTTTTACAATTTAACTTCCAATGGTTACAGAGATTACTATAAAGAAGTAATATCTGCCTTTGAGGAAGTATAATTAACAAATGTTTCTTTTATTTAACAGTGGACATAATCCATGTATTCAAGTTTCATTTTCACTCAGAGTTTCTACTAAACAAGCAAAGAAATGCCGACAGTTTTAAAATACATTTTATGAATTTTTACGAATTTTTTTCGGTAAATAAATTTTTTCCATTGATAATTTGAATTAATAATTGTTTTTTTAAATGATTATTTTTGTTTCTAAGATTCTTAAGCACTAGGGACCTAAGCATGGTTCCAAAATTACATATACAATTATATCCGACGTAATGGAAGAGAACTTTGGATTTAATTTACCAATTTAATTTACATGTTCATCCTTCAAGAATTAGGATGCTTTTTTAAATCATTACCCTCTCTGCAAAATCTTTTTTTTTCTTTTCTTAGGTATGGTTAGCGCGGAGCGAGAAAAATTTGCTTAATTGATAAAAATAAATAAATGTTTAGTAAAAAACAAGCCTTCAGTAATTCAAACAATTTCAAATTTTTTAGGGCATCAACATTTCTCCCCTTTCCCTTGGTGGACGTGGAGGGAGGGTATATCTTGCAATGTAAACCACTGTCAAGAATATCCACAAACACATTATATTTTTCATTTAGTGGAACCTCAATCAGAACATTTTGGATTCGAGGACGGTTAATTCCGGAATTCTTTCAGACAAGGATCCTGGATCATGTTAAGAAAAACATTTTGCTCCCAATAATTGTTTTTATTTCGACTTTCATGAAGTACACGTTTAAATATAGCTTTAAAGATTATAAGTTTCCATAATATGTATTTAAAATGAGAACATAAACGTTTCTTTTGAGGTCTGACGCATTTAAACCCTGGTAGAAACGAGGCCTAAATTTTGGTAGTATAAACTGGACCAAGATCATTAATTTAAAGGGAGTGTTCGCAAAAATTGTCTAATTGAATTCGAAATAGGTCCCTACTAATTTTACTTTAATCTATTACATATGTAAGGAGAAAAGTGTTAAAAACGACTCGTATACCGGAGAACAAATTCTCGGAGTTGCATTATTCCACTCAGATCAAAACAAATTCAATTTAATTTAAAAATAAAAGCATTCAGATATTACAACCTGTAAATTAAGGATTGATTCGAAGCATTCGTAAAAAATAATTTTTATAAAATTTTAAAAATTCAATATAAGATGTAATTTAACGACGATTAATGACCGCTAGGTCTCTTCCAAGCGAAAGCCCTAAAATACAAAGCAGAGACACTATGGATTGCTATCCTGTCAAAAATTTCCTACTACTAGGAGCCCCCGAAAAAAAACTTTTACTAACCTATGAACCGTCCAAATTTTGACAGATTTATCATCCGAAGCTGTCACAAGACGAAGGTTTTCAGGAGAGAATTCAACGCTGCGCACTGCACCCAGATGTGCTTTAAACTCCGTACTTTCTCCTGAAAATATGATTTTATTTGACGGATAATTTTGTAGACTTTCGGAGGAAAAGAGAGAGTTGTGGGCAGTGCTTAGGATCCGGATCCGGATCCGCTGGATCCGCATTATTTTGGCTCTCTGGATCCGGATCCGGATCCGGAAAAAAATGCGGAAACCACGGATCCGGATCCAAGCACAATTTTATTTTTCAAAATGTGCAGAACACCGTTAATTTTCCTTAAAAATATCCTATTTTGAATTGTTTAACAGATTTTAAAAATATTCTCAAGGTCTCAGGTTTCTATCTTGCTCAAATCTTAACTCAGACCTCCACCGTGCACCCCTCCCCCACCCCCTTTAATAACTAGAGAGGGAGGGGGGGGGAGAAGTCTCCCTTTTCCCCATTGCAACTAAGCAAATTTAGTCTTTACAAATTAAGGTGTAAGGATGTGTAAGAGTGAGGGGGAAAAGGGAGGGGGCGCACAGATGCTAAGGAACATCTTGTGTTCCCAGTATAAAGAGACTGTTTTCTGCCCTGTAGATATTCAAATCAGACCTAAGGAGTTGCCTGAAGGCAGATATTCCAAACGCAGAGGTTCTACTAAAAGCTAATATGAATTAGACCTGTTTTTTTTCATCCAATAAAGTAAAAAAAAATCATTATCATTTTGTGCAAACTAGTAGAAAAATAGTGTAAAAAAATGTTAAAATGTTTAATATTTTTTTTAGGTATGAAAAGATATTTGAACTAAAATAAAATTTTTCTTGATCAATGACCTGGATCCGGATCCATTTTTTTGAAAAGCGGATCCAGGATCCGGCATCAAAATTAAATGGATCCTAAGCACTGGTTGAGGGGTTAGCATTGAGATAAGAATATCTCTTAGAAAGATAAAGCTTAGAAGATATAAAGTAAGGAAATAAGTTAAATATGACCCTAGAACAAAAATAATGCCTTTAACTCCAAAATCTAGTCACAGGAAAAGCCAGGGAATACGGTAAAAATAACATTTTTTAATGTCGTTCTTTGAATAGTTTTTCAAATAAAGCCATTTACGGTACAGTACAGTACGATGACAAGACCGAGACGGTATGAATTCAGTAGAATATTCTCACTCCCTAACTTGGTGAAAATTCCTCACAAAAAGAACATTTCTACCTTTGAGATTAGGAACCCAGAGACGGACTGACCGATCTCGACTACCCGACGCCATGAGATGACCAGACCTAAATCAAAATTTAATTTTAAAACAAATAAGATTTATTATCATAAAATCAGTTACGGTTTCATATGAAAAAAGGCGATCTGTTATTTCATGAGAACCTCAATTAAAAAATGTTGTCAGGGTTGGGAAAAAGACCGGGTTTTTTTTCAAAAAAAACCAGCCCAGTAGGTTTTATTGGGCTTTCTATTGAGGTGTTATGGGTTTTTTAATTTGAAAGTAGCTGAAACCTACTAAAATTCATTCTAATTCATTATAATAAGACTATTTAAGCAATAGGTGAACTTCATAGTTATGAAGAATAATAATATTGTTGTGATAATAGGCTATAATCATAATAAATACTCTTCAAATAAAATCTCCCTTCTTCATAGGATGCCTTTGTAGGGGAATAATGCAATTTTTTTTTAGTTCTTTGACTTGCAGATTACTTCTATTTTCTCAGTTGGATACATATTTCTGATTGGGGGTGGGGCTACTCAGATAAAATTGTAAATATCTATATGCTCAAGAAGGAAGACCACCGTTAAATACAGAAAAACTTCAGACGACTCGCACATAGGAATGATAAAAGGAATTTTATATTCTTATTATATTGCAACATATTTTGAAAACTCATGAGAAAAAAATAAATGTGTCAGTTTTAGTAATGTAACTCCCTAAAAATCAATATAGTTGATAGTAGCCTTAATTTACGAAGAGTTTGTCATTCTAAGAGTAAAAAAGGCAATAATTAGAAAAACCCAAAAAGCCCATTTATAGGTGGGTTTTTTAAAAGGGGAGTTTTTTTTGAGTAGGTTTTTTTGGCTGGGGTTTTTTATAACAACCTTAAAACCTTTTTCTAATCAATATTGAGGAAAATGTTGTCGGCTTCCTTCAGTATAAAGTAATAAGTGTTAAATTCCTTTAATTCCTTCGTTATCCTTTAGTATAAATGCAATTATCGTTCTCCTTTTCAACGAGCTTAATAAACGTGGGGGATGACATAATAATTCTTTATTAACAATTTACAAAGTAAAAGATATTTTCCTCCCTCCCACTCCTCGCCTTATTAAACATAAGGTAAAATAATAACAAATCCTCAAATACAAAATTAGTTATTTCGTTATTAGTTGATTTTACCTGGAGAAATTTACGTCCAAAACTGCATCTGTGTGCGCCGAAAACCGGTAAGCCTAAAATAAGTATTTAAAAATAAAACTTCAGGCCAGTGCTTAGGACCCAGATTCCGGGTTCAAAAAATCAATCAAAAACTTAAACTCTCCAAACCCAAATATTAATAAAAATTCTTTAGGGTGTTCAGACGGAGGGGGAGGGAATTCAGGAGAGGGGGGGGGAATTAAGGAGGGACGGGGGGGTGTTCAAGATGAGGGGGGAGGATGTTAGTTCTCACCTTTTTGTCGGAGTTCCAGTTCCAGAGCATAACAGACCCATCGGAGGAGCTGGAAGCAACCTTTGGAATAAATAATGTATTTTTAACATTCATTTTAACTGTTTATACGTATAAGTGTATTTTGAGAGGATAATTGTAAATAAGATTTTTCGATTTTAAAACGCAACTTTCAGCGCCGGGGGGGGGGTTAAAAACCCAATGCTTGATTTCTAAAATGATATTTTCACACCTGTTTCTGAGACGGATTGAAGTGAAGGGCTGTGATTGCATCCTTATGTCCCTTAAAATTATGAACTAATTCCGGGTCCCGCATTTTCACTCTGAAATAAGACAAGGTTTAGGTTCCAGGTTTCAACTCCAGGTTGTTTACTGAGCAGTGAGAACACAAGCTCCTCCAACAGCCTTGATCTTCTCTTCGGCAACACGGGAGAAGAAACGAGCCTTGACGATGACGGGCTGCTTGGGCAGAACTCCTTTGCCCAAAACCTACACAAAAATAATATTTAAAGAAAACAAAAACTTTACTAAATTCAGACGGATACGAATACAAATTTGTGTGTGTTTGTTAATTATTTCAAGAAAATTTTCATTCATAAAACTGGAGTTTCATAGTATTGAATAACTGTTGTTTGCAGAAAAAATCCTTCAATATTGAGACGAATACATATCCACTATTTTTGAGTTTATTTTAAGGACTAATAATTTAAAATCCGGAAATACCTTGAAATATCCGGCCCTGGAACAATCAATAACTGGTGCCTTGTCCTTCACGTCAGCATACTTGGTCCTAAATTATATAAACACTGAGGTTTAAATCAATGTCAAGTATATTATTTGTATACAGGGTTACCCACAACCAAAAACACTTTTCATAAACTTCCAATATATTAAAATTGTATTGTGAAAGTTTGCTTTGTTTTCATTCTTAATAGAAAACTCAAGGTTAAGGTTTTGTTAGCTTTATTTTGCATTTTTTCCGTCAGGATCCAAATTTGGAATAAAGTAAGGTTCAGAAAAAAATTTGATAACTTTTTCCTTCTACGTTTGACCAAATTTTGACACGCTTCACCAAATGTTGACACGCTTTATAAAATTTTGACACGCTTTATCAAATGTTGACACGATTTATCAAATTTTGACACGCTTTATCAAATTTTGACACGAAACGAACGAACGAACCAAGTTATAACAGATTCCTATCAACAAAACAGACAACTGTACGGAATATTATAAAAACATATATGGTTCCTTTAAACACTGGGCTTTCTTTGCCAAATCCTTTAGTACTTCTGAAATTAAAGACAAATTGAATTCAGTCAGTAATAAAAAGTTTCAGAGAGGCCTTATAGCCTCATTCTTTGCGGGTAACCCTTCACAAAAAATTCTAATTTTCAAGATGCATCTATTTTTAAACTTTTACTTTTACTACCAAATCGATTTTGTTCCCCAAATTTAACCTTTTATCAAATTTGAGGTAAAGAAAATATTCTCTCATGGATTGAAAGCTATTTATTTGAAACTATGATATAAAAAATGAATTTATCTTAACAATAGAAATGCTGTGTAGGACACAAGTCTATTTTTACTGTTTGAATGAAATAAGCTTGAATGGAAAATTAATGTCAGCAAAATGAATTTTAAAATAATGAACATTTTATACTCTAAATTCGGACTTAACAGTTTTCTAATTCCCAAATATTTACAGTTCCCGTGTTCTGGGTCCATTCCTTTACTTTTAAACGCATTCCCCTCGAAGTATATAGGTTTGGCGCGTAGCGTAAAAAATCGTCTTTCGCTGAATAATGATGTTTATGGTAAAAAGTATGAAAACCTTTTTTTTGTCAAAGTTAACTTTTCCAAAATGTTTCCCCCCCCCCCGCAATATACCAGCCTCACCCCGCTTCCATATTCATACATCTTTCTAGCCTCGTAAGATGGTCTCAGAGAGGGAGTAAGAAATAAAATGTTACACGCAATGGATGTAACTTCACGAGACGACCGTATTGAAGTCTGCATCTATTTGAGCTACTTTAATATCCAATTTCAAATCGAAAAGCATCAGTCCCGTCATGGATATATGTAAACATACATTTCACTAGGGCGTATTTGGACCGCTCAGAAGCTTATTTTAGATAAGTGGGTAAAAACCAGCCTTACAGTATAGGAAAAAAATTAACCATCGTTAGAACACTCGCATTTATCTGTCAGGATAAGAATTTGATTTCGTGTAAGAAAATCAAATGTATAAAATAAACAATTCTAAAAACATTTACTTTATCTTAACAAAGTCAAATTTAGACCCTGAAAGAAAATATAGGCAAAACAAACAAAAACTAACCAACAGGAGACACATCAATACTCTTACCTGGTCTGTTCTGAGACGAGGGACCAGAGTTTGTCGAGGTTGATGGCAGGGCAGTAGTTGTTGGAGATGTTGGGATGGACGTGGAAGTTCCTCATACCAACCTTACCGAAGTATCCGGGATGGTACTTGTCGAAGTTGATCCTAGACGGATAATGTTAAGTGTTAGAGAGGGAGGGGGTGCAAAGCCACCTTGAGCCCCACAAAATCGCCTCCCGAACCTCCGTGAATCATATTGATATTTTTCGAATAAAAACTTTGGAAGTAAAAAGCCAAATATCTTAAATTAGAGATAAGAATGTTGAAAGTAGACAGAATTGCCGAGTCCTGGAGACGTAGCGCGAGGCACAAAACTGGTTTTGAGTTTTTATTAAGAAAAGCCCCAAAGGTTATTTCGCAAGCTTTTAGTGGCTCTGCACCCCCTCCCACGTGTAGAAGAACTACTAGGAAGTAGACATTAAACTCGCGTTTGAGGTTTTTGATCACTGGCGTTTTATCGAGTTATTAATTATATCCAATTAACATTCGATAAATGTTATAAATAGTCTCTGAGCCAAAATCCATCATACAACATTGTTTAATATATTTTCTTGTGGATTTTTTGGAGGCAGAACAGGTGAAATAAGACGCACTAACACCACGCCACAAACGGCAGAAACACCGTGAAACACCGACCTCTAAAAATAACCTACCCTTTACCTAACATTGACCTCAAAAATAACCTCCATAATACCTGTGATGATGCTGACCACCAGCATTTCCGCGACCTCCGGGATGCTTGCGGTGCTTTCCAATCCTTCCGTGACCGTGGGAAACATGTCCACGGAGCTTCCTGGTCTTTTTCTTGCAGGTCGACATTATTTCCCCTGAAAATAAGATCTTATACAATTTTTCAACAATACTGAAATTATCAAAAAAGCATTCACAACGTTGAACTTAGGGCGACAATATTTAATTCCAGATTTACGTGTCCATCTCTAAGTCTTCTGTAATCGCAGGACTTGATTCTATGAGTCCTCGTTCTTTGCAATAAACCGCATAATGATCAGGTATACTCATAAACTTGCGGATTTTGTGTTCTATCTGTTTCGGGGTTTCCTGGAAGTGATTTTTGGGATCCCGTGCCATTGCTTTAAAGTCTAGTTTATGTTTGTCCATCATGGAGGAAATATATTTCACTTGCTCGCTGCTGAATCTGAATGTGGCAGGTTTTTTAATCGCTGCTTGAGCTTCGAGCTTAGCAATCGTTGGTTTACAGTCAAGGGTCTCGGCGACTGTCTCTTCAGTGTTCGTAACGATAAATTTGTTTTTTGAAGGTTTGATCTTAGTGACGACATTGTTAGCGTCAATAGCAACACCCAGGGTTTCCATGTTTTGCTTCACGGACTTCCTGTTGTCCCAGGACTCACGGAGAACTGGACATCCAACCTAATACCAAATAAATTCCATTAAAATTATGATAAAAAAATACGTATTTCAAGTTCTCGAGACAACAATGCGGCGAAACAGAGAACATGAATGGAATGTTCCGGTTTTACAAGAACTTTTAAATACAAGAATGAATAATTTATATGTTGAAGGATTCGATGATTACGTAATAACTGAAATGATATATATGTTATGTAGGGAGTAAAAATCAATGTTTTCTATTTGTGCATAATTTTGCATATTTTTTCTCTTTTCTTTTGGAAACCTGTATTTTCAAAAAAAAAATTTATTT